ATCAAGAAATGACTTCGAGAACAGTTCCTCCTAAATATTGTTATCATCTTAAAAGTTCCTCCTAAAGATCATTCAATTGAGTAAGAGGAATTCTTGAAAAGTATCGAAGAAGGAGATTTTTTAAAATTGGCTCTTTCAAGTACTTTGACACTTGGGAGAAGAGAGAGGGAAGTAGTTTCTTTCCATCCAACCTCATGAACTTCTTAGTGAGGCAGCACTATAAGCATTTTCGAATGTTTGGATGTTTGTATTTTGTTTATATTCCTGTGTTGTTTATACAAAAATTGTCCTAGGGCAACTAGTGTTTTCTTGGATATGCTCAATTTGGGTAGATATGATACGACGTAAAATTCAAGAGACTCCATGTATTTTTAATGCTCTCAAGGCGATCACTTGTGTTTTCCTCGATATGCTCAATTTGGATTTATATGATATGACGTAAAAATCAAGAGACTCCATGCATTCTTAATGCCCTCTTTAATGAAATTGTTTCATATTTTACTTGACCAAGTTATCTGTGTTTTCTAAGCAATTCAATGTGCATTTATCCAAGCTTGATCCCTTCCACATAGGGTGACTAGTTGGGTAAAGAATATGAAAGCAATTGAACAACTAACATGTCTATTTCATCAAGCCTCCAACTCATTTAAGTCAAGTTACCCTTTAACCTATTCAATTGTGTTAGAAGAGCAGAGAAAAAGAGCTTAAGCCCTTATTTGTCTCTCTTTAAAATTTTAATACATTTTTCTCCATTTTTTTTAAATCACACATTCGTCAATAAAACAATATTATACTTAGATCAAAAAATCTACCATCTTTTTTAACCACACATTCTCTTAAAAAATACTATTCCATAATACATTTTACCAAAATCTCTTTATAATGGAGCTCAAACAAGGGCTAAAACATATGCTTGAAAGAGCTAGTCAACTTCTTCCCTCTGTACATGCACAAAGATAGCAACAATCAAATTTTCAATTTGTCGATCCTACATAATATAGCTTAAATATATTTTAATAGTAAAGACAATTCATATATAGATGGTTAGAATGAGAGATAGTTTTCATTTTTCTTTTGTCATGTATAAAATTTTCCTTTCGTCTATAGTACTTTTCGATTTTCACATTTTTTTACCTTATAAAAGACCGGTACGTTTGAACCAATATTCAATATTTCAATGGCACATCAAAAATATCCGAACATCAGAGTCCAATCGTTCATCTCACCCAAATTAGTTTGGTACATTATAGTTATATTTAGCTTCCCGAAAATGCATTGCGTATCCATTGTAGCTCAAACATTTTCTTACACAAAAGATAAAGAGACGCCTCTCCTCAATATTCTACATGCCCCTGTTTTTCGTTTCAGTTCGTAGATTGAACTAATAATTAATTCTTTACAATGTATTTTAGTCTATCAATAAAATAATTTTATATATAAATACAAATATTTTTCTATTTTTAATCATGTATTCTTAAAAAATTATTTTTATAATATAAATTCTAAACAAAGCCCCTTAAACAAGGATAATAAAATTGTACATTTTCTTCTTTAATATTGTCGGTATTATCTCATAGAATTAAGACATTTCTATTAACGTAGTGCATTTGTATTTGTGTTCGATATGTATGAAATTGTCCACATTTCTTACTAATTTTCTCTTTTTTACAATGGTAATAATATATGATATATATTTGTTTGAGCCCTAGTTTTTTATTTTTTTATTTTTGAAAAAAAATGCATTTTTGAATAGTGTTTCGACCTGATGTCAACCAAACATTTTTCAATAAAATAATATTGCTCTTGAATCTAAAATATTTTTCCTTATTTTTTATCTACAAATTTTCCATCAATACAACATTAAAAAATGCATTCTTTTGACAAAAATGGAGCTCAAACAAGCTAACTCAAATATTATGTTTCTTTGAAGTATTCAAGTCGTGTCATGTTTGCATAGTGTATCAGTGTCCATGTTACCAAAAATTTTGTCAATGGTTTCTTCATTTTCCAAGTTTCAACTGCTATTTTGTTTACACTTTGGTTTACTTTATAATTGTTGGGAATCTATTTAATTATGCACAGCGAAAACAAAAACAGATTTTAATTTCCACTAAGAATCTCTCTGTATTTAGATAGAAATTGTACCTTTGATGAGATTTGCAAACTCCTTTACTATTCTTTCATTCCAACGATCTTGATTCGCCACCTACAACTGTCCAATTGTCCAGTTTCCAATGAAAATCCACACAGAAAACAAGATTGTAGAAATCAGGGTTTTCTCCTCTTGTACCAGCAAGAATGAAAAATCCCTACAAATTGAAAACCCTAGTCACTTAGTTATATAAGCCCAAATGGGTTTAGCCTGACCCGGTCCAAAATGTAATTAACCCATTTAATTAAATTCGGTCCACGAATTCATTGGATTAATTAATTAGGGCCTATAAATAAGAAACTCAATTAATTAATTTATCCAACGCTTGTTAAATTAATTTATTGACAAATCACAATCTTTCAATTCTCCTTTTGTGTGCAACCCATCAGGTTTCATATCACAATGCCTAACGATGTAAATTATTATTTTGATCTAATCAAAATCGATAAATTAAAACACCATTTTAATTTATCACTATTTCACTTTCACCGTCCAAGATTGATAACTAGCAATGTGTCAGGGTAATACATGTGGCGGAAAATGTCATGTGGTATGAAAAATCAAACTCGTTCATTTACCATGAAGCTATAATTCCTTCGTCAATATGATTCAATTAATTATGAGATATGGAAGTGTGTCAATCCCGATTATCGATCATATCTTTCATTCACTATTAAGTCAATATAAGTCGAGAACCCATTTTTGACTTCTGAGTACACCTTGGTCAATGATTTCATTATGGACTTAATTGAATGAAATGTAGATCATAATTTCTTACTATCTAAGAGTGACGAATCCTCTATTAGTCATTCATAACCTTCATACGATTCTTGACATACTCGAATGATGTCGTATTAGCGGCTTGGCAGAGCAACATCCAACACCATCAAAGCATGATTGTCCTCATATAAGCACTATGACGACCTCAAGTCAAAGGGTCAATTCCACTTCTGAACGTTAGAGATTAACCATTGACTTTCCAATAGTTATCCATGTGGAATCTCTTAATGAGTCTTCAATATTTTGTTCTATAACAAAACATCCATGTGTTAAAACAAATAGTTAGCCTCAATTTTGTCTCGATAACAGCCTATGCGATCGCATAGCAAATTTTTGAAAACCTCCTTTTCCTTATGTGAAATTTTGTGATGATTTCAAATTGTACTCATGGGCGAAAATCAGACACTTGAGCTAAAAGTTATGCATATTTTAATCCACAATGCTCGTTTTCCATATATGACCGCCTTTATCACGTTGATCCAAATTTCTTCGGACTTCAACTCCAGCATGAAACTTGCTCCATTTCGCGTTTCAAACATGGTGTCATCAATAGTGGCTTTGAGGAGCATCCCCATCGCCTTTTTAACTCGTTTCCCTCTCGATCGCGTCATCGGACTTCTTCGATAATCAACGGGTCTTGATTTGGACTCGCCTTCGTCGCATCTTGGATCATACCGATCTCTCTGTGTTATAGAAATTGTAACTTTTACGAGATCCATAAACTGCTTTGCTATTTTTTCGTTCCAACTATCTTGATTCGCTACCCACAACTGTTCAATTGTCCAGCCTCTAATGAAAATCCACACAAAGAGCAAGATTGTAGAAACATGAGTTTTCTCCTCTTGTGCTAGCAAAAATGAAAAATCCCTACAAATTGAAACCTTAATCACTTATTTATATAAGCTCAAACGGGCTTGGCCTGATCCGATCCAATATTTAATTCGGTTCGTAAATTAATTAATTTAAATAATTAATTAGGGCCTATAAATAAGAAACTCATTTAATTAATTTATCTAACGCTTGTTAAATTAATTAATTGACAAATCACAATCGTCCAGTTCTCGTTTGTTTACCGTGAGTCTATAATCCCTTCTTAATATGATTTGATCAATTACGAGATATGAAAGTGTGTCAATCCCGATTATCGATCATATCTTTCATTGCAGTATTAAGTCAATATATGTCGAAAACTCATTTTCGACTTTTGAGTATACCTTGTCCAATGATTTCATTATCGACTTAATTGAATGAAATGCAGATCAAAATCTCTTACTATCTAGGAGTGATTAATCCTCTATTGGTTATTCACAACCTTCATACGATTTTTGACATACCCGAACGATGCCGAATTAGTAGCTCTTGGCAGAGCAACATCCAACACTGTCAAAGCATGGCTGTCCTCATATAAAACACTATGACGACCTCAAGTCA